CTTAATGGCACCGTAGGAGGTGCCCTATCCTCGCCTTTGATTTTGTTGGAGGTCGGGCTTTGCTTCAACAGGTTTGAAGGGTTTGGCCTGAGTACTCGGTTCACACATGGTTAATTGCTAAAGTTAGGGACGAAGCGTCCATCCTTGTGTAGTTCGAGCGAGGTCGAGCTCGTTGGATTACACATAGCGAAGGCGCATGAGCCTGAATTCTAGTGTTCGACCGATGGCTGGAACTTAATTGGCGAAGGCACCAGCCGGAAGCCCCAGTTACGAGTGTTGTGTGGACTTTGTTTAAATTTGGTGACGTGTGAAGGCTCATAGCCTGTCTTGGTTCAACCGTGGTTGAACTTGTTGGTTGAAGGCGCTAGCCCGTCTTGGTTCACCGTTAGTTAACTTTTGGCGCAAGGCGCATAGCTGGATATAATGCGACGAAGGCGCATAGCTGAAGTCCGGTTATTTGTTGTTGAACTCAGTCGATTTTTGAGCGGCGAGGCATCATCGCCTGAGTCCCGGTTCCAACGTCTAGTTGAACTTTCATAGTGAAGCACATACCCTGTCTTGAGTTCGACCGTATTGAACTTTTCTGGCGAAGGCCACATAGCCATGATTGTTAATAGGCGAAGGCGCATAGCCTCCAGTCCCGGTTCAAGATTGTTGTTTGAAACCCAGTACGATTCTTGACGGCGAAGGCTCATGCCTAGATACCCGGTTCACCGTAGTTGAACGTTGTCTGGTAGGTCGCATTGCCATGTTCTGGTCGACCGCTGAGTTGAACTTTTTGGCGAATGCGATAGCCTGATTTAATGGCGAAGGCGCATAGCTGAGTTCCGTGTTCAACTGTTGTTGAACTTAGTACATTTTGACGGCGAAGGCCATGGCCTGAGTCCCGGTTCAACCGTAGTTGAACTTTCTGGTGAAGTGCGCACTTAGCTGTCCTTAGGTTTCGACCGTAGATTGAACTTTTTGGCGAAGGCGCATAGCTGTTTGGTATCGACCGGTAGTTGGAACTTTTGGCGAAGGCGCATAAGCCCTGGATCTTTATAGGCGAAAGGCGCATAGCCTGGAGTTCCGGTTCATACTTGTTGTTGAACTCAGTCTTTTTGACGCGAAGGCTCAATGGCCTGCGTCGCGTTCAACCAAGTAGTTGACTTTCTGGTGAAAGGCGCAATAGCCTGTCTTGGTTTCGAACCGTATGTGAACTCTTTTTGGCGAAGGCGCCTAGCCTGTCTTGGTTCGACCGTAGTGAACTTATTTTGGCGAAAGGGCATAGTTGGATTTAATGGCGAAGGCGCAATAGCCTGAAGTTCCGGTTCAACTGTTGTTGAACTCAGTCGATTTGACGGCGAAGGCTCATGGCCTGAGTCCCGGTTCAACCGTAGTTGAACTTCTGGTGAAGTGCGCATAGCCTGTCTTGGATTCGACCGTAAGTTGAACTTTTTGGCGAAGGCGCATAGCCTGTCTTGGTTTCGACCGTAGTCGAACTTTTTTGGCGAAGGCGCATAGCCTGGATTTAATGGCAGAAGGCGCATAGCCTGAGTTCCGGGTTCAACCTGTGTTGTTGAACTCAGTCGATTTTTGACGGCGAAGGCTCATGCTGAGCCCGCGGTTCAACCGTAGTTTGAACTTTCTGGTGAAGGCGCATAGCCTGTCTTGGTTCGACCGTAGTTGACTTTTTGGCGAAGGCGCATAGCTGTCTGGTTCGACCGTAAGTGTGAACTTTTTGGCGAAGGCGCATAGCCTGATTAATTGGCGAAGCGCAATAGCCTGAGTTCCAGTTAAACTGTTTTTGAACTGCAGTCGATTTTGACGCGAAGGCTCATGGCCGGTGTAGCCTGTATGCTTGTCCCAGCCGGTCAACCGTAGTTGAACTTTCTGGTGAAGGCGCCATAGCCTGTCTTGGGTTCGACCGCTAGTTGAACTTTTTTGGTTTCGTTGGGATTTTCGTAGGAGCTGAAGGCTCGGTTTTGATTCGAGATCTTGAGCAGCTTAATCGTTATCTTCCCAACCGGGGTATGATGGCTGTCTCGGAAGCGCTCCTCGATTCGAGATTCCTCCGTGCTGGTTTCCGGCTGGAGCCCTTTATCAGGGATGTGGAAGATAGCTTCTTACGAAGATTCTCCCCAAAAGAAAGGGGGGCACTGTGGAGATCGTCTTACGAAGATTCTCCCCAAAAGAAGAGGGGCTGCTCACACTTCTTCTTGTTTGCACCATTAGATAGATGAGGGACAGAGGGGACTGGACCTCGATTCGAGATCTTCGAGTTCCATCGGCCTGATATGCCGCTTGGCTTGTTTTTGCTGGGTTGTTCTTTCCAACCGGCGTTCCTTTCCTTTGGTCCATGGAAGAACTACGCGATTTTGCTACGAATCCCCACAGACGGCGCCAAAT